GTCAGATTCTGTTAATTAATGAAGTATTCCTGAAAGAAGTCGATGCCATTTCATTTCATGCTTATTTCCCGATACATTCACCTCGAGGAATCACATGGGGTCTTTTAATTGGTGCCAGCTCGATTTTGAAGACAGTTTACCACAGAGTGGCGCCTAATGAAGTTTGGAAAATACTACTGAATTAACTGATGATATTAATAACAGTTGATCTCATGCATTTTGTACTCTCGCAGTACAAGATCTCACTGTAAACCTTTCAGTTTGCAAAAAGATCCTAATCCAATATCACCTTCATCATAGACAGCATAACATAATTGTCCAACACCAATGCTTTACTGCCTGACGACCATACTTTATTGGAAAGCCTCATTGTGAATGAAAGGATAAAAGTGAAATGAGAAGAGGCTATTTGATAACCTACTATAATAATCCCAAGAGAGCTACACTTCTGGACACTCATTTTGGGGCCATCTGGATAGAAACTGACAACAAGAACGCCATTGACGTCGATTAGCAGACACATCTTGAAGCGTTTCCAACCAGGCTCAGTGGAGACCACGCCGCCTCCGTGCTGGAAGGTGAGTCGCACCCAGACAGCATCCAGACTTTTCGTACTCTCTTTCAAACCCCTCTTCCTGGTCAAAGGTTGATCATCACTCTGGTTCCGCCATTATGGAATGCGCATGGAAAACAGCGTCCTTTTCGGTAACGGATGATCCGGCATTTGGAACACATCACCAAACAATCACAGTATTCAGCACTGGACACGCTTTTTGGTTGAACTCCTCGTGGAAAAACCGAACACTCGTATTCTAATCGTCTTGTTGCACATTGGCCAACGTATGCCTATAAGAGCTGTCGTTCTAAGACAACTGCTGTCAGAGGCCACATCTCGAAGCTGTCCGTTACCGTATCCTGACACTCCTCTTAAGATCCAGGGATACACAGTTTTGCAGCCATATGTGCCAATTCGAGAGCAACCATTCGCCGGGCATGTAAATCCGCTACCAAGTAATCAGCGGCTGTACTGTAAAAGAACAAGTCAGTTTTTGAACTAAAGAGGATGAGACTGCACTTCCTCTTAACTAACACCACGAAAAAGTGGCCAAATCAACTTCAGGGCTTCGGCAAACCAAATGACCGAGGCAGCATTTCTGCTCCAGGCATGCTGGACCTGACCAACTCAGCCTGAGAGAGTGAAATCACCTAAAGCCGTGGCTTAATTTGGCAACGGCGAATGCCCAGTGCATAAAATACCGCTGACAGCTAGTTCGGTCCTCATCAAGTCCTCAGTTTGGTCGTTAGGCGCCGTCGACGGAAATCACTGTTTGTCTGCATAAAAGGTACTGTCACTTCCCGTTCCTTGGTTATGCTTCCAATCGTAATCATCTAACCGACCATCTCAAGTTTTGTTTTGATACGAACCAAATTACTACGTCTGATCTGATAGGCGCTAGCTAAGACAACTCTAAAGAAGCAGAGGCCAAAGTACACAAAACTCATTGGCGTGAAGAAACGATTATCTCGTCCCAAGTGATTTCAACAAACTCGATTACCAGTATGTCAAGATGATACTTTAGAACCGAAGTTGACAGGAGATCCGAGATAAATTCGAAGAAATATGTGGTAGTCAGTCGGTGGGTAACCCTGTACTTTGTGAGCCTAATCGTGGATTCTTCCAATCAATTGGAGGCACAGCACGCCTTCAAGTGACGAGGCAGTCTATTCCAAAGAATGATCCCCAATGTGGTATCCAGTCCCGATTCAATGCGGCTCACCTTACTGAATTAATGTGAACATGGGAGTCCAAGTTCACTGACTTTCATCTGTCCTTACGAAAAATACCCGATTGTTGGGGAAAATTCCCCACTACATCAATTTTGCGAGATGTGTTATGAATTTACAAACTGGACATTTCCGTAGCCTTGTTCTCTTCAGCAGTTCTGGATAAATCACGCGAGGGAAATCAACCACCAGCGTGAACGCACACTAGACGAACTGTAATTTGAATAGTTAAAAACGATCCGGCTTGCTGTCGCAGTTTTTGGTATATATGTTCCATTGTTCCCACAATCAGCAGGTTCCTGTTTTCGACATTTACCGAAGCTTTTGGAGGCCTTGGTCATAGAATTCTACTGCTACATATTCCTAATGGCTGTGTCGATGGAGTCCCAGCTCACCGTGATGTCTTCATGAACTAAAGGCAATTTATGGCACTCAGTCCCAGTAAACCTGCTACTATTCGAGTTATTTTGGGGCATAGTTTTATCTGAAAATGTTTTCCTTTGTATGTAAGGAGACTTTTCGTAACCAGGCCTCGCATCGGTTCATAGTATGCCTGTAATTCTGTCTTTGGTTGTCCAATCAGGGATCCCCTTCAAGATGGTCATACCCAACTTCAAAACTGGTCTACCTACCTGTTTAGTGAATCGAGAATATCGAAATGTGTCTGCATGTTGCTTAGAATTGTGAAGGATGGGTGTCACGATACCCGAACCAAACATTTAAGTCCCCTTTTCGTTGCTGACAATAACATTTCCCAGCGCTGTTCACATATCCAGACAGGAAGGAAAATGCTTTATTCTGTTCATTAGATCCCCTGAACTCCTATCTGAACGTCGTGGATTTGCACTCTGGTTGATTGTATTGTTCGTGGGCATTTTCATGCGTGTTGGTTCAGAGAACCGTCCCAACGCGTTAAGATGACTGGGGAGATACGTTCCATAAGTTTACGAAACTCCACTCCAAAATTATGTTCCTATCTTGAATGACCATTGGCTCTTCTTGAACAGATTTGCTTTCAGACTTTCAGACGGTTTATGGATGGGTGTTCTTCCTATGAGCACCTCGGTTAATCTGAGAACTCAGACTACAAAACTAACAAGCCACCTACACTTCAGGTTAGCTTAACTATGTTTGAAATCCTCATCGTCCAATCTGCAAATTCTTTGTTTCGCCCGAATTGCAGATGCATATCAATTCGGTTTTGACGGGATACTCACCAGGAACCCGTCTGAATCTCTCGGTAATGATGTTCTTGAAAAAACTGAATGTGCTGCACCAGGCCGCCTCATATTTCATTTGGTACGATATTCGAGATTTCACTATATATATGTATATATATATATATATAATCTTCCTCTCTCTTGGTATGCAAATACAGGATCAGCCCCAAAAATGGCGGAAGTGATCGTGGACCGTCGAAGAGTTTTCAGCAACCTTATAAGGAGGGTCATATGTGGGGTCATTTTGACCTCGAGCAATATCCTATTTGTAATACGAGTTGCAAGATAAATGTATATCAGAAACGGAGTGCAATAAACAGAGAACCTGAGAAATAAACTAAGTTAAACAATATTTTGCTTTTCAAGTTGAACCCAACGGATACGCAATTAAATGACTCGATCGTGTTGTTCCTTGGCTGAGTGTACTGTACAAGGGACACCGTATATCTCACTCGGTACGATATTCAAGATATCACCATACAGTGACTAGACTGATCACACCACTCACACTGTGGTGAGTTTTCAGTAGTGTGTATTATCTAATGAGTGAAAAAGTGCCTAAACTACAAACTCCCATGTTCGACTGCCTCAATAGCCATCTGCTTTAACAGCCTTTTGCTGCCTAGGTTGCACGCCACCCGAAGGAAGAACGACGGATGGACTACTGCCAGGTTACCTAAGGTTATACTATACAGTTGGGATGCTTGTGTTGGGTTCGAACCATGCACTTTTTGGTCAGTAAGTCTGCGCCTTAACCACTGAGTTATCTTGGCCCATCTTGAATTAAGTAGTGTCACCGTTCACCCATCAGTGATCTCAACTAACAGCATATGACTACAGTTTGCAGATAACAAAATGTTTCATGGATTCCAGATGAAAACTCCTTCCTCATGTGAGGTTAGTCTAGGCTGAAAGGTCGACAAGCACAGCCGTTTCATCTTTGCTGGTGAGTATCAGCAGTGTGCATCATAAGAACTCCTAGGGAGATTCGAAGCCGCGATCTTCCGATTGGCGGCTGCCTCAGCCGCGTACCACTTGGCAACTGACGGCTTTCCATTAATGAGAGTCGCTAAGATCTACATACCACCGTCCTCCAGGAAAAGCTCACTTAACCTAATCCAGTACTAACTGGCTTCTTGATTGGTGACTTCCCAGTTGGGAGTCTCATCCGGTTAGTAGGATTTTTTATTTATCCTAAGAACTACATATGACTCGTAGGTAGGGTTAGAGTGTAGCACTGCTTTTCACAAGTGATAGCCCTTACTTTCAGGATGAAATTTCGGCGAACAGCAATAACGACGTTAACAGAAAACTCGACTGCAGAAAGAGCAGCTTGTCCAAGCACTGTTCTCTCCAATTCCTAATAGCAGTATGAAATTCTCTGACGTCTTCTCGTACCAGTTTACACTGTATGCGCTTAATGGAACACCGAATTACAAATTCTTTGTTCTGGTAACTTCACTTACCGTTTGTTCCGCCCATCTCTATGAATGAGATTTACCCGGTGGGTCCAACGGTGTGACCGATCATTAACATAGTGCCCTACTAACCTTTTAACATTGTTTTCACCCGTAAGTTTGCTATCTCGTAAACCGAGAAGCAGGATATCACTGAAGGGAATATAATCTTCACTCATAGGATGCGAAAGAAGTTCAAACGTTAAATTCTGATGGGCATGTGAAACTTCACTGTTCGGGTAGCCGATGGACATTTCATCTCCGATCTAAAGATAGTTTATGGAATGTCGTCACGATTCACATTGTTTTCCGTATGTCGTTGCTTGAGCCAACAATGCTGAGTGCAACTCATCGTACATCATCGATTCTTACTGTCCTGGCTTAACCAAACTCAGATTATCAACAAACCACAGTTAAACCAAAATTTCAACTTCATATCGTCTGCTTAACTCATCGGTAACAATGAGGTGTCAAACAAGGTGTCTCAAGTATTCAATTCACAAAAACTTACTCTACGCTGATTTGTACTGCGTGTGCGATAGTAGTATCTTCATCAAGTTTAGTTCCTCCGTCTCCATTGCAGTTTGTATCATCAAACCATATTTGAAAGTTCTCCGCACTAACGTGAAAAGGCTGTCGGTCAACGGGCAAGCTCAACACGGGGCTGAACTGGTTCATCTGTTTTACTGGTGTCGATTCACGGCGCCATGGAAAATATGTATTACCCGGCCGCCGCACCTGAACTTGGGAGGAGGTTTGTGCGCGAGAGATTTCAACCCAAAAGTCTCTCACAACTTTGTATGACTTTTTCACACTCGGAATATTGGAAACAGTTTGCATTTTCAAACGGGAAGTACGAATAAACAATCCAGTCGTGCATGATTTGAACTCTTCTCCATAGGATTTTCAGACCCCTCGAGCTGTAAAAAACAGCAAAAGCAAATAAAAAGTTGGTCGCCTGCAATGTTTTTGTTTGTTTGTTTGTTTGTTTTCATTTTTTAGTGTTTATGGGTGGGCTTGTTTTTCTCCCTTCAAATTTCTGCCAGGGATTATCCAATTAAGCAATAGGTTATGTAAATCCACTGAAGAACGTGTAGATGAGAAAACAAACGTGAATCCGAGTCCCAAATAAGCTGGTTGAGCTATTTGTATTTTTTCGGTAAAATTGGGTCTGTTCTTTGGATTTTCAATCTCCCCCTTTTATTAGTGGGTTCATCGGGCGCATGGTTCGCTTGCATCTCTGAAGCTCCGTTGTCTGCTCAAACACACAAGAACTACCCGCTTATTGGAAATATCAAGCATATCTGCCGTATTATGGGGGGTAGCTGGGATGGGGAATAGGAGTTGTCATTGGCACTCATAACTATATGGCTGTGTTGAAGACCCTCCCCATAAGCGAGAGGGTCCTGAATTAAACGGTGTATGGTATTCATTCGAAAATGTGAGCTGACACCTGTGAGGTCCAGTATGGATATTGAAGAAGAAACCTTATTACAGATGAGCCCAAAACTTCGGTGTAAAGATAAATTTAAAAAAGTATTGATAAAGAAAGCATAAGTGAACCGCACCGATTATGTACCGCTTGGACACAGACGCACCGTGTCATCTGACACACAAATTTAAGGTCAGCCCGAGTGCCACACTGCTCATTTTACCACTGAATGGATTCACCAGAAATCAGACGTAAAACAGGCTTTGAACACGACCGGAAGACTCATGTCAAGTTGCGTCGGTCGTCGCCTTCTTTGTTAACTTTTTTCGCACACTGAAGAGGAGAGAAAACTGGAACAGCGGCATCGTTAGAACATTCGAAAAATGAGAGCACAGTAAGAGGCTAGCCTGCTTGGCAACCTGTGGCTCAAGCACGCATTCTATCATCTTGCTACTTTCCATCAAGCCGGAGAGACAGCTTACACCAAAGTTGACTAGATAGTTCTCGTCTTCTGTCAAGCGTTGAAAGCTGCCAGACAAGCTTTTCTTGAAACTAGACGATGAACCGTTGGAAGTGACTAAGCGTGAGTTCCAGAGGGTTGAGTAGGTGTGATTTGTTCAGGTATGCTCAGATTTCTTATGCTCAAAACACATGATGGTGTGCTCAGCTCTTCTGTGTGTGAGTTGATGTGCAACACGCAACTGCTTTTCAGTCAAGTGGGGAAGCCTTGCGAAAAACGAAGACACCATATTTTCAGAAAGATCAGGTTAACCTTCGGTGGATTTTTGATAGACAAAAGCTTTTTTACGTCAAGAGATTAATTTAATCGGATGATCAGAGTTTAAATTGTAAAAGGAAACAAAGAAATTTTGTTCAACCGGCAGACTAAATCAGTTCTGAATGTAAATAAAGTCATGGCTGACTATGTCTTGCGATCGATGAGTTTTGGAAAAAGATGACATCGGCGTAAGTTCACTTTTGGGATCGTGTTTGGAACACACAGACTGATGATTGCTTTCAGGTATCGTTTGCAAATTGTGATATGTGGCGCTAGAAAGTGTAACAAAAGACGTGGCTTCTGATGGCTTCTGCTTCGTGCTCTCGATTTCTTTTGACGACTGCTCGTATCTATTGTTCTAAACTCTGCCTATCTAAGACTGCCCGCACAAGCTTGCTAGTTCTGCATACTCCACTCAAGTCCCATCGAGATGCTTGAAGAATGCTAAAATCTGGGCTACCAGTCTCTGTGTTGTAAGGCTTTGTTCTCACCTTTCCAATATCCCAAATCTAATCCAAAGTCATTGTCTAGTAACTGCTCATTCACCGCCAGTTCTTTCAGTAGCTTCACGTATTCACCCACATTTAGTATTGTGCCATTTATTCTTCGCTATTCTTCCACTATTTCCGGTTCTCAATTCCATGGTTGTTTGTTTTATACAGACTGTTGTTCATTCGTCATATTTATCCTTTATTCTAGCAATTGGAGAGGGGTGATCTTTCAGCTGCACGCATATTGCTTACAAAGCAATTTTTCCCTGAAATTCTGCACCAATGTGGGACGTATTTAGTACCTTTTCAATAACTTCAGTTATCGCCTTTTTTGTACGGGGTGCCCACTACCTAATCCACTGGTTTTAGGTTCCCCTATACACTGCAGGCAATACGCATTGTAGTTATCAGTCTGATAGTTTTTCGAAGTAAATTTCGAATTGTTACCATGTCCCCTTGACTCCTTCCTTGTGTAGCGCTCTGACTCGACCAAAGATCGGTGAAACGCTGCTTACGTGCAATGTCATATAATAGACCAGCTGGCAGTTTAGGACTGTACCTGCGTTTAACACTTTGTGACAATTTAGTACCCGTCCTTTGTCATACGGAGTAACAAGAACTCCAGCCCCGTGCTGAACTTAACTTGGAAGCTCGAGGTGCCGAGACGTTGAGGGAACTCACAGACCTTTTCTAGTATGATATAAATAACTTAACGTCTGAGCAAAGCCACAACAATGCCACAATACCGGTCTACAATCTGCTCCGGCTGAAGCTCTGTACTCTAAGCAGTCAACACACATTTGAAAAAAAAACAGAATTGTTGAAGATCCCTTCGTTAAATGTCATTATTTAATGAATCGGAAGCAATGGGACCAAAATTCAGGCAGATGTTTAAGCCTTCACCTGTGAACAATTGAGCCAGGCAAAATGGCCTTGCCGGTCCGCAAGAGTCCTTTTTAGGGACACGTGTGTATATCGAGTTGGCTCCAAAGGCAACAAGAACATTTCTTCAAATACTACCAGTTGTACATTATTTGTTTTCCACGGGAGACTTGGTTGAATCTAAACTGAATCCCTTGTCTTACACACATTTAAAAAAAACAGAATTGTTGAAGATCCCTTCGTTAAATGTCATTATTTAATGAATCGGAAGCAATGGGACCAAAATTCAGGCAGATGTTTAAGCCTTCACCTGTGAACAATTGAGCCAGGCAAAATGGCCTTGCCGGTCCGCAAGAGTCCTTTTTAGGGACACGTGTGTATATCGAGTTGGCTCCAAAGGCAACAAGAACATTTCTTCAAATACTACCAGTTGTACATTATTTGTTTTCCACGGGAGACTTGGTTGAATCTAAACTGAATCCCTTGTCTTTGGAATTTGCCAACGAAATGTGCTGTTTAAAGGCCGCCTGACATTCTGGCTGGTATGGCATCCGAGATATCTAGATATAAGGAACATCACTCGTACGGTTACTGAAAACTCTTTGAGTAGTTTTCAATTCCATAACTGAGTTTCATGACTGTCTTTCGTAGTGTAATTATGCTCTTCACAATTAGACTGACTCTAACCATCCCACTTCTAAACCACGTGAAGTTCCTTAGAATTGTACTTTGCAAGCTTCGATTTACTCTAGAACTCCAGTTTTAAGAGATTTTGTTTTGATTTACCTCAGACGACCGTTTTCAGTAGGCAAGTTCCCACTTATCAATGGCTCAACTCTGCTTAAAGTCGGTCCCATATTTTTCTCCAAATATCTATCAACTGGTTTCAATAGTTTGCCAGGATACTCTAAGAAATGTGTGTAGTGCTCTACTTATACAGAATTAATGAAGAAATTGCTCCAGTTTGTTCGGACATTTCATTCTCATTCGGGCCATGAGCGAGTTCATAAAAGCATAGTTCATGAAACACCGCGAAAGGGGTAACACCAAAAATATGACCAAAACTGTGGGCCTCCCGGTAATGACGTTAAAAAGATATGTTTATTTCCCTTATGCCGCAAGTGATGCAAGTCTAGTCCAGAAGTTCTTTTTGCGAATCTTCAGTACTGCGTGTCTCAAGGGCCTCTAGGGTGATTTGAACACATGATCACCTGGCTATATAGTAGAGGTCTATACTGTTTACTCACTCGCGCCCGATCAACAGCGATGCTGACGCCGAACTTTAAGAAGTCTTCTCAGAAAACACCCCACGTATTTTGCGGTCCTTCAGTCTGAGAAACTATAGAGGAGAATGTCGGTAGCTCAGGTGGCGTAGATGGTCGTTGGCTTGTTCGCTGAGCTGGACAATTCGGTTGCAAACGTTTCATCACCAATCGAGGTGACATCATCAGTGCGTAGTTGTGCGTGGCGGTGGGTTAGTGGTTGTGGGTTAGTGGTTGGCACAACCACTAACCCACCGCTACGCACAACTACGCACTGATGATGTCACCTCGATTGGTGATGAAACGTTTGCAACCAAATTGCCCAGCTCAACGAACAAGCCAACGACAGTCTGAGAAACTATTACTTGAGGGGCTAGTCAACACGTAGCCACTTGATGTAAATGACGTGATCGCAAGAAGATTGGTGCAAGGTCTTGTTCGATGGCGAACTCATCATATTGGTTAGTCACTTTTGACAAAATGGTACGATCCACATAATTTACGTAGGAGTTTGACAGTTCTGACTACCCCAAAGATCCGTGGTATGTACACTACTGATCCTTCTCAGCAAGAATAAGACAACCGTAAACGGCTGCTAGGTTTTTTGGCAGGAGTTAATTTTTCATCGGTTAACAGTCGGGTTGAAACACGTTAAAAAGATGTTTTCTGTTCTCAAAGTAGGACTGGTAATTAAAACCTTTTTGATCAAGTAGATCAGCTTGTTTGAAATTTTTTATACGGACATACCTATGCAAAACCAAGTGAAACCTAAAACTTTGGGGTAAGAAAAATGCCAATAGAGTAGTTTTCACCTACAGCACGCCCGGAAAAAATTCATCGTTAGACAGGATAAGTAATGACTCGGAGGTATTTCTGAGAATCTGGGAAATATTAGCAAAGCTTTTGCAGTGATTCACCCTGCCCCCAACTGTAATAACCTCGACCGAGAGCCTACCCGTGAACCTTTCCAACGAATGACGCTGTATGCATATCCAGTATATATAAATCAGATAAAAAGGATTTGCTAACGTGGCGTGCTCGTTCATCGGGTGCAAATAAGAAATGCTCTTTAAAG